AGGGGCCCCAGACTCACCCCTGCTGAGACCTGGCTGTGGACTACGTGTTGATCCAAGCCAAGTCATCAAAAAGAAAGGTTACATTCTTGCTCACGATGGGAACGGAAGGGAGAGTCTGCCTGGGTTGGTGAAAACACTGAAGCATCAGATATTTTTCAAGAAGTCCCACGGGCTGTTTCAGGTCCACAAAGTGGAGCAGCTCAGTGTCCTCAGAGCTGCCTCAGGCCCATCCAGTGAGTGGACACAGGACCCAGGAAACGGGGAGACAGAAGCACCGCTCCATTGCGGCTCCAGGAGTTGTCAGTCGCTTCCGGTGTGTTAAACAGGAAGTTCACTGCAGTCCTGCTTAGCTCATGGCCAGACTGTCTTTCTTTCCTCTTAGGAGAACTCAAGGCTCCATCGAGACTAGATTGGTGTTTCTGGATGAGCATGGCCAGCCACCACTCTGTGGACTCACATCTCAGTCTCCTTGTCCAAAGTATAGATGAGAACGGGCATCCCAACAGCACTGGAGTAGAGAGCAGCTCCTGGCACTGGTCCAGCACATCAGGACACCGATGCCCAAGGCAGGCGGGTGACTGGCATCTTGCTGGAGACCGAAAACCAAACACACTGCTGTCGAGTCGCTAGGTCGTGACTCCTGAGCCTCCGTTGGATTTCCCAGGTTGTAAATCTTTACAAGAAAAGACTGTCCTTCTTTATCCTGAGTTCTATCTGGTAGATTTGAACTTCCAACCTCTGCATGAGCGGTGCAGCACACACTGCGCCCCCAGGGCTCTCATCCTCGTGAAGGCTGAGGCCCTGGCCACTGAGTTTTAGGGTCACCAATCTTCAGGGAGAGGATCTGCTGTCCTCAGCTCCTGGCCCCGAGAGCAGTGACTCATCAAGGGAACTCGGTGCCATAATAGCAGCGTCTGATAAAAGAAGCCCTGCAGGAGTCTGTGGAGACCAGTGAGACCCTAGGGAGAAAGCCCATCAGAATGAAGTTGTCACTAGGAGTCATCAAACCAACAGTGACTCACAGTGACCCTATGAACAGAGGGGGCCTTGCCCCGTCCCGTGCCGGCTCACAGTCTCTGCTGTGCTCGTGCCCGCTGTGCCCACTGTCCATCTCAGGAGATGAGGGTGAGGCCTGTCCTGTCCCTCACTGACTGTCTACCTTTCCGGGCACAGCAGCCAGCCAGCCCCAGTGAATCCAAGATCCAAGCAGCTGCATACACACATCTTCCTGGTAACAGATCACTCAACACTCAGATCCCAACTCAAATTCTGGGTTCATTGGCCCTGGGAAAGCTCAGAATCCAAGCCAGAGGTCAACTCCAACCCCTGAAGGGTATAAAGATGCTTTGTAGTGAGGGTAGCGAGGCCGACCAGCCTGGAGCACGTACCACGCGCTACAGGACTGTTTCGCACGAGTTACTTCATTTCACCCTTTGAGAGGCCTTATGCAGCAGGTCCTGTGAACAGCACCTGGAGTGGTGGTGGTGGTGTGTGCCATCGAGTCAATTCTCTGACACACGGAGACTGTGCAGGAGTGGTAGACCTGCCTCAAAGTCTTTCCTGGGCTGTGATCTTCGTGCGAGCAGATTGCCACATCTTACAGAGTGGTTAGGTGGGTTCAAACTGCCAACTGTCTGGGTAGCTGCCAAGCACTTAAGCACTGTGCCAGGATTCTTTACTTTGGAGGCTGCTCGTATTAAGACTCGGATGTGGATAATGAAGGGCTTCTCCAAGACCTCAAAGTCCTAGATTCAAATTCAGATCCCACACTCAATTGGCTCTTTACTGGTAAAGAATGCTTCGGGGAGGGGGGGGGGCAGGATTCCACACTTCTAGCCCACAGAGGACACGAGGAAAACAGTGACCCTCAGGGAAGCCAAGATTCCAAAGCAAACCAGTCACACAGGGGCAATCTGACTCGCGGTGACCTGTGTACACAGGGACTCGCAGGAGAAGCTCACCTCCCACTCCCACCTCCTCAGAGAGGGGTGTAACTTAAAGATCACAGCTTTTCAGGGCTAGGAAAATCAGCCCCTATCTACTGGCCTTGACCTTGAGCCAGGCCCTAGCCTCACTGTCCTCTCCCACCTCCTCTCCTCAACTCCTCCCTGTTCCAAGCCACTGTCACCTCCTACTTCCACCACGGCTATTGTTCCCGACTGGTCATCTCTCCTGCTTCTGCCCCTCTACCCATCAGGCACCAGCAAATATCTGAAACAGAGGTGACCAAACAGTGGCCAGGCAATTCAACTCCACTGCCTATTTTTGTCTGGCTTGCAACTAAAATGGCTTTTACATTTTCAAAAGGCAGGAGGTAAGAGGCAATCCAAAAAAAAATAATACAGTGGAGTCTGTGGGAGCTGGGCCTCCACGGGAGGCCTTGTTATTCTGGACGATGCAAACTTCCTGCCTTTGATGGGTACAGTCTTATCAGTGGAAATAATCTGCCTTTTCTTCTCTGCCACACAAGTTCCAACTCTTGCCAGTTTTACTGTATCTTTTGACATCCAAAAGTTATAGCAGTGTTTATAAATAAAGATTTATTGGCACACATATATGCTCATTCATTTCTGTATTACTGGTGGCTGCTTTTTGTGCTCCAATGTCAAAGAATGTGGCCAGGGAGCAGCTGGGTTACAGACAGTGACCCTTCACTGAGTTTCCGTGGCTGTGAGTTTTGCAGGAGATTGCCCACCTTTCTCTTGCAGACTCACTGGCAGCAGCCCAATACATTGAGCACAGCTCCCCCAGGGCTCCTAGCGTGTCCTCGAGCAGGGACACAGCAAAGTACTTCTCTAACTACAAGGAGTAAATACAACGGTGAGCTTTAACAAGTAAACTCTCTTCTAGGCTTTTCAGAATCAGTAGCAAAGATGGGAAAATCCACAATAGAGGGAAGAGACAGACGCATCACTGCACCATCCCTGCCTTGCCCTCTTCTCACCGCCACGTAACCAGACCGCAGCAACTCTTTCCATTTCACAGATGAGGAAACTGAGGTTGAAGGAAGGTCAAGGGAACTGCCCTGAATCAATGATCCAGGAGAGGGCAAATCTGGCAGTTTGCAGCTATCTTTCCGGCACCCAGTGTGCCCCAGTGCTGACTGAGGGGACCACAGCACAGATTCCCAGGCAAGTCAGGAAGCACGGAAGACGCCACTGGAGGAACCAGCTGCCTCCCCGCGGGTGGAGGTAGAGGCCTGGTGGATACGGATGACTAACTGTCATCAGAGTGACAGAGAAACGAGCTGTGTCTCCTGTCAGGTGGAAGTGAGCCCAAGCCAGCCCAGGTCAGCCTAGACCAGAATAGGCCATCTCAGCCCTGGCCAGTTCAGTCCAGCTAGAAAAAGGCCAGCCCAGCCCAGAGCCCAGCCCAGAGCCCAGCCCAGCCCAGACTAGACCAGGCCAGGCCAGTATAGACTAGAACAGGCTATCCCAGCCCAGAGACCAGAGGAGGGGAGGGGAGGCCAGAGGAGGCCAGCCCAGCCCAGCCCAGCCCAGAATGATTGATTTTATTTCCCCCAACGCTGCCGTTTACAACTTTGCTCCATGTGCAGAACAAATTGAACAACAGTGTAGTCACCGCATCTGCCCATGACCCATCTCCCCCTGTGTTTCTGAGGATGTCAGTGACAAAGTGGGCTCAGATGTCATAACTCTAGCTGCCTCCATCCTGTGCCTCAGTTTCCCTAGCTGCAAAATTGTATTGCTAGTTGGTCTGACTCACGGTAATCCCTTGGTTACCGAGTAGAACTAAGCTATGGGATCATTAGGCCATGCATAGTGTGTCAGACTGTTAGCCAAAAGGGCAGTGGTTCAAATCCACCGGCTGCTCCTCAGGAGAATGATATACAGCCTGAGAAAGCTGGTAGAGGGTCACGTGAGTCATAACTGACTGGACAGCACTGAGTGAGGTTCACCTGGTTAATCTTTATAGAAACAGATTTTGGCTCTATTTTTAATACAGTTGCTGGGTGGGTTCAAACTACCAACTTTTAGATTAGCAGCCAATTACAAAACCGCTTATACTGCCCTGGCTTCTTGCAAAATAATATTGTTGTGTAAGGTTAGGTCAAATTGGTCCCAACCCATGAGTCAAATTTCAGTGTTTATAAATCAAGTTTTATTGGCACAAAGCCAACATATCCCCTAGCGTTTTCTTGGCTGAGATCTTTATAGAAGTAGATGAGCAGTTATTATTTTGCATCGCCAGTAGCACATTTGAAGTTCTGATCTTTTGGTAGCAAGCAAAAGAGTAAATGTGCAAGGTCTTTTGGGGACAAGAGGGGCTTAAAGAAAAAGATTTAGGTGGTGGTGATGAAAAGCTTTCAGTGTGACAGAAATTCAGAACATGTGTGTGATCTACAGGTGGACGTGCAGGTGAGCAAATCTCAGGTGCACGTGGCCTGTCCTTCAACTGGGATGACAGCCCCCGAGGGTTCCGGCTTCATGGCCCCTTCCAGGTCCTCAAGAGTCAAGACCACAAAACTACTTGCAATAATGGGTCCAGTACCTTAGCCCCTGACTTTTCACCCTTTCCACACCCAGGAGCGGCCAGCCTGTCCTGAGAATCTGTTTTTGAACAAAGCTTTGGACTCAACCCTTTGTCCCAACCCTGACGGGGCAGCCAGGCTTCTGTGAGCCAGAGAACCACAGAGAAGGCTGGTTTCACTTTTCTAAGCAGCAGCCAAAAAGTACCGAACCTCTCTTACATAACATCCCATTACGAGGTCTCACCTTCTCTCTCAACAAGCCCCACAGCCCTGAGCAGCTCCTCAAGATAGAATCCTGTGTGCTGCTTAGACAGCGAATGGCCAGCTCCTGATGCCTGGCCAGAGCCCAAGCCCTCTGACGCTGCTCTGCTGGGGTGTGGGGAACTAGCTAAGACAACTTGCTGCTTGCCCACTGCCCCTGGACATTCGGACAGTAAGCTACTGAAAGCCAATGGAAAAAAGAAGAGAAGTTGGGGCGGGAAAGGGGACAGCCACATCCTCTACTTGCCTGAACATCGAACTCTTGAAGGAGGCTGGTAATAGTCTGTGGAGAGACAGGAGAGAGGGTCAGTTGTGTCAGTATGCTGGGACAGAGAAACCATCCTGAAAACAAGGGGCTTTTCCAAGACTGACTCCATATCTGCCCTCCTAAAGGGTCTCCAATTCTGAACAGAGAATGTTCTTGTTACTTTCAAGAAGAGCAGCCCAGCAGAAAAGCTGACACTTTATCTAATAACTCTTCTAACTACAGTCTTGATTTGCACCTATTATACCCCAAGGTGGTAAAACAATAACCTGAAGGTCTAAACAGACCACAAGCTTGAAATTTCCAGAACTAAGTGGAACACTTTTAAAAGTTAAATTTGGAGATGTCACTATCCTGAATTTCCTTTTATTTTCTCCCCTTTTCCCTGGGACTGCTGAGCATCTGAATTAAGATTAACTCAGTCAGTAACTGCTTGTACATTTCTACGGATTCGGGTTCTTGCACACCTCCCCAGCTTTGGATCCTCTGTGTGTGTGTGTTTTCTTGGTACCGTCATTCTCTCTGACCAGATGTTTTGACACCCTAACTTCACAGATGTTTCTCTACATTTTGGAACAATCCTACTGGCATCACTTTGTAGATGGTGAACTCTGAGGCATGCAGGGATTGAATCATTTGTCACGGACACTAAGCTGCCAAGTTTTACAACCAGAATTCAAACCCAAACAGACTCGTCTTAACTCTAAGCTACAGTAAGCAATGGGGACCAATAGGATGTCCAGAGGTGGCAGGGTTCAGCACATCTAGTCCTCTCTCGTCTTACAAACAAGAGCAGGGCAGTGTAGGTGGAAGTACAGAGAAATGGTCAAACACGGGCTTGAAGTCCCTAAACACTAATGGCCAGCTGAGGGGCTGAACTGGACCTGCCACTGTCGTCTGTATTCTTGTCTCAAGGGACTTATTAGAAACAAGGAAGCAGTTGACATGTGAAAACACAGATGTGTATGTATGTGTATACATGTTTTGTGTGTATGTTTTCCATGATGGGACTCTAGCCAGGGGCCTCTCCACTCACCTCGCCTTTCTCAACCAAAGGCTTGACCTCGGCGAGGTCCACGTCCTGCAGGTCCCGAGACATGTCCCTGCTGTCACCTGCCTGTGAGGAGACAAAGGTCATGAGGTCAGCATTTTCCACTGAGTGATAGTTTCCAAACGAGGCAAACTCAAAGCAAGTAGATGAAGCTGGGAAAAGGTGGGCATTGACTCTCTCGTTAGAAGACTCTCCAAATGCATGGTTGTCCCAGACTGACTGCGGGGGTGTGGGGGGGACGAGAGTGGAAGACCCTGGACGAGAGAGTATGGCTCCTGAATGCACCTGCGCAGCTGACAGAAACAGACGGATCTGGACTCAGAACCGGGTCCCACACCAGGTCCAAGTCCAAGCTCACCATCAAGTAGGAGGATGTGTCTCACCCCCACAGGAGGCTAGGATCCCTTAAACAGGGCATGCTCCAGGCCTGGCCTGGAATCTCTTAACTTGTCTTCTTTCCTGGAACCAGGTATATCTGTTCTTTCTACAGGTCCTGAGAGCTATCCCAGCAAATCACGACTCCCTGAGGAGTACGGGACAGTGGAGGGTGGGGGGAGAGCCTGGGTAGTGCCATGTGGTTGGCATCATGTGGTGTAGAGGGGGGATCTTGGATGTTACCAAGTGGCCAGCATCATGGGGAGTAGGGGACAGAGGTGTGGAGGGGGAAGTCTGGGTAGTGCCATGCAGCCAACATCATGGGAGTAGGGGACAGTGGTGTGGGGTGGGGGGAGCCTGGGTAGTGCCATGCGGCCAACATCATGGGAGTAGGGGACAGTGGTGTGGGGTGGGGGGAGCCTGGGTAGTGCCATGCGGCTGGCATTATGGAGGGTAGAGAAACTCCGAATCTAGCTAGCAGCTCAGGAGTGAGGGACCCTGGGAGTGGGCTCCCCAGTCTGTAACTGATGTCTTCTGGAAACCTGAGGACAGTATTCTTTCAACCTGACCTCTCTCTCAGTGACTAGTGAGAAAAAGCAATGCCACGTGGGTGGCCGGTGTCAGGACCGAATGGAGAAGTGAAAGGGTGGGGATGTGGGGTTGAAGGCAATGATTCACCATCGCCCCGTAACACTGCTGCTTTCCCAAATGGGAACTGCGGCTTCTGGCTTCCCACTGTCCCATGGGCGGCAGGACCACAGATCACACAACTCCCATAACCACAGGAATGCAAGGCGCCTTCTGGATGTTGGCCAGCAGCAGGGTCGGGGCACCCAAGACCCCTCGGTGCCTGCACGTGGCATTCCACGACCCATAGGCGGACCTGGCCCCCTCGTGGGATGCTCCTCCATCTCCCAGCCCAACACCACTGCCCGCAGGAGATAAGCAATCCACAGGAATGCCTGTATGCAGCCTTTGAGTCTCTGCTCGAGAACATTCTGGAAACAAAGTCCGTTTTATATTTGTGAGCATTCCTGGGCAGCTGCCAGCTCGGAGGCAGGAGGCCTGAACAGCCAAGGGCTGTTGTCCTTGCTAACTCAGCGTGTTCACGGTCCCGAGATCTTGGCCCATGGGACAACTCGCCTACACAACCAAGGCGCCTTCCAGAGATCTAGAGACTCTGCCAATCTGCATGCTGGGAGCCCACCGTCACAGGGCTCCGTGAGACGTCCTGATCAGCCAAGCATGCTGGGCTCTGCCACCTGCCACTGTGTGACTCGGCCACACTCCCTTCAGGTGGCTCTCCGGTCAGGACCCTCGGACACCTGAGGTTCCCGGCGCTACACTGGGGGCAATGTCCCACCATTGCTGAACAGACACTGCTCTCATAACTTAACGGGCAATGAATACTTTTATTTCAACTCACTTTGTCAACTTGCAAATTTTAAATTCGTTTGTTGGAGTCTCTGTTGGCATGCTCAGCTGTTAACCAAGACTGGAGGCTTGCATCTGACCAGAAGCACCTTGGAAGAAAGGCCTGGAAATCTGCTTCCAAAGAATCAGCCATGGACAAGCCCATGGAGCACAGGTCTGCCCTGACAACGAGCCTAGGGGGAACTTGGTAGCAATTGCTTTGTTTGGTTGTTGGGCTTTAATTATCATTTAATTACAGAATGGAGCCATGCTCTGCAAACATTCCTCAGAGTAAAGACCTGGACGCAGGCTGCAGTTCAGGGCAATCCTGCTGGGCCTCCTGAGGCCGAGGCCCTGTGCCTCCTACTACCATGTGCCTCAGCCCCATCGGCTCACTCTTCCTCCTGAGTGCCGCGGGTTTCCGTTTCAGCCCCCAGTGCTTTCCCACACAGTCACCTCGGGGGTCTTCCACGCCCCTGGGAGATCAAGTCTTTGAGCCAACCCTATAGTCTAGTTTCCCAGACCACTGTAGCAACGGAAGGAAGAACGATCAAACAGCCATAAATGTCAAGCATGTGAGAATCATCAGTCTTGAAGCTGGAGGCGTTTCATCTAGCTAACCCATCATCTAGCCATTCACGTAGATGGCCCTTCATCCAGCCCTTCACAGAGAAGGCTCTTCATCTAGCTAGCACTCATCTCGCTAGCCTTTCACGTAGACAGCCCTCATCTAGCCAGCCCTTCATGTAGACAACTCTCATCCAGCCAGCCTCCATCAGTGGCACATAGACAGCCCTCATCTCACTAGCCCTTCACATAGACAACCCTCATCTCGCTAGCCTTTCACGTAGACGGCCCTCATCTAGCTTGACTCCATCACTGGCATGTAAACAGCCCTCATCTCACCAGCCTCTATCAGTGGGCACAGGACTGAGAGGACACCTGAGGATGAAGCTTCCACAACTGACCACAGGATTCCTCTCAGTTGGTGGCGCAGGGGATGAGCACCTGGCTGCCTAGTGAGCCTCCAGCTCGGTGAGCAGTAGATGTGGCGGTGGTCTGCTTCCATCAAGGTGACAGCCCCCCGGACAGCTGTCCTCTGTCTTCTGGGGACAGACTGGACAGTAATGGGTTGGTTTATTTTGGAGTCCCCCAAAGCTAGCTGGTCAAGTCGACTAGATGGTTTTGACGATCCTGGCCAGGAGAGGTGCTACTAGTTGGCATCTGGTGGGCAGGTCAAGGGTCTAAATAATGCTATGATGCCCAGGACAGCCCCCACCATCAAGAATTACACAGACAAAACATCGACAGTGCCACAGTGAGAAACTGTCCTCTAAGTCCAGAAGTGTCCGGGGCATCTAAATCTTAAGAGAGATTAGAAAACTCAGGGGGGTGGCGGGGCTGTGAGGACCGTCTGTGCCTGTTGTCCTTGATGGGGAACAGCCTGCAGGTTCCCAGGGCCACTGCTGCCAGACGATAAGAGGATGATGCTGAAGCCCCAAGAGATTAAGAAACTGTCTTAAGATCACGCCAACTGTCACAGAGCAGCAGGACGGGCCGGCCCGACACTCACACTCCCACTTCTTGACCACTTTGTCCTGCAGGGTTTTCCTATGAGATGCAAACCCACAGACCGATAAGACCGGACTCGCTTCAGGAAGTGGTTCCGGAAGCAGATGTAGCTTTGTGTATATGCTCTGCTTTCGCCAGGAGAGAGGGGAGCAGTGTAGCGTGTCCAGTCTTGTATGAGCTGCCTAGTGGCCCTGCCCTGGCCAGGCGTCGGCCCTCAGTCCACAGTGCGGGTCACTTCTCCAGCTGACCCAAGGCCCAGTGTGGTCAGAAAGTTCAACAAGCACCTCCTGGGCCCAAGGGTCAGTGCTGGACTCAGGTCTCTGCCCCGCTCAGCGGCCTGGTGGAAGGTCCCAGGGACAAGTGTCAGGAAGACACGGGTCCAGGAGACGACCTACACTGGGTGACTGACACCTAACTCATATAGAAGAGGAGATGGGAGCCCCAGGTATGACTCCCCACCCACCTGCTGCCCCCAAATCTGTCCTTCCTCTCCAAGAAGCATAGACAGAAGCCCACCCCAGCCCAAGCAGTGAATGAAGGGGGCCAGGTCTCCTTCAGCTAAAGCATGCTCAGTGCCACACGCAGGCTGCCAGGCTGGCTCAGACCCCACCTGTCCTTTCCCACCCACTCTCCAGAGTAGCTGGTCAATCCAAACCACCTACTTTCCAGGTAGCACAACACATAAAGCACTGCACCACCAACGCAAAGCCAAGCTTCCCACCTTGCATCAAGGCCGATTCCTAGCCACCCGCTGTGGTTCTGAGGTTGCAGCTCCTTACAGGAGGAGACCGCGCATCCCTCTCTCATCGGGTGGCTGGTTGATTCAAACCTCCAGCTTTTGGTGAGCAGCCTGGGATACCAGACTCTTGCATGCTGCTTAATTAATCGGTGCACCTCCTTTGCCTGTGGCCTCAGGTAACTGGCCACCTTTGAAGGCTCAGTGTCCAGCAAGATGGGACCCAGCAAACATCCCCTGGCATTCTAGCTGTCAGATGCACTTAGAGGTGGAGAAGGAAGGGGGGTGGATGGTCTCCAATCACAACACGAGTCAGTAAGTAACAACGCCTTTCTGGGTGAATAGACCCAGGTAGGTCAGCAATCTGCCGGAACTCGTTCAAGGATGCAGGTGGGAGCCAAGATGGGGATGTGGCCAGAGGAGGGAGGGACGGTGCCCAAGGACAGGGGGGCAGTGGGCAGAGGCACCCTCCTGGGCTACTTAAGAAGGTTTAGGGTTTTTTAGTCATGGGAGAGGCAGTCCTGTAGGTAGACCTTGGGGAAGCTATTGGTTCAGACCCAGAGCACTGCCATCAAGGCCAAGGTCACAGTGAGGCATGTCACCCAATTGTTTAGTGTAGAATAGAAAAGTGATGTTGGCACCGTACTGCAGGCTGCCGCGTGTGCGATAATTTTATGAAAAAGTCTGAAACACTGTGAAGACGACCGAGCTGTGCACTGAGATGCAAAGCGACTGAGCATATGTTGTTGGGAAATGAAGCCAGCAGAGCTCCTCCATGAAAGGCAACCACAAATCTTCATTTTGTGAAATAAAAAAATCAAAATCCTCAGCATCTGTGAAGCTCAGTAAGGTTTGCCCGTATTCTCAGAAAGCCCGGCTGAAGGGAAGAGGATTGGCTCTATAGTTCAGGGTGCGACACCCCTCTTCTCTCGCTACATGGTTTGGATCGAGTCATTTTCATCTCCTGCACCC